CAGGATATTTGTCACTGCTTGTCCCAAGCACAGGAAAGCAACATAGGTCAGTACAAAAATGCCCAGTGACTGATGATAAGAGGAAAGGAGCAGAATTTGGATGTTTTAGGGACCAAGTTAGCAAATTCACACTTTTTTAGCTTGACCTGTGTGTGACACAAAAGCCTATGCACTAAAAAATCTAGCATTTAAAAATTCAATGAAAATTTGGCAACTCTTTGGTTATTTCTGAAGAAAAATATCAACCATGTTGTATGTTTATCTTGTAAACATTATACATGAATGTCAATGGCCTTATTAACATATGTAGCTGCATTGAGAAAAATATTTTACTTGCTCTAGTGGTCATAAAGCAAGTTTCATTATCTCAGTCAGTCAGACTTTATTGGATAGTAAACTACCATCCACAATTGCAATGTAAAAATTATATACAGTATACACTAGGTGGCCAGATTATTATGACCACCCCATCAGTACTTCGTTGGGCCACGAGATGACTTCGTTGGGCCGCCTCGTGACTCCACGAGATGTTGAAAGGTGATGCGAGGAATCTGACACTGCACTGTTGCCCTTCTGTTGTCTTGTACCAGTCTTGCCACTTTCCGTTCTGCCCTAACATTGACTAGTCGCTGACGGCCACAATTCGCACGTTCAGACCAAGATTTTAGGCTGACAGTCCAGTCTTTAAACACTTTAACTATGAGCCCCTCTGGAACATTTAACTAATTCTGCTGTTTTGCTGATACTCGCTCCATGGTTCCGAGCGCCAACAATCGTCCCATGTTCAAAGGCTGTTAAATCGCGTTGTTTACCCATATATTCAGAAAAAAATCACTTCTACTGTCTTGGTAAACAACCTGCTTCCCTATTTATAATGGTCTGGCCCTCTAGCAACTTCACTGCGAACTTATAGCTAATTATAGCTAATTTGCCTACAAACGTCAGGTGGTCATAATAATCTGGCCACTGAGTGTATATGAACTATATAAATACAAAAAGTATCCCATTATTAGATCATGTTTTTTCAAAGGTGTTTTACAAACATAAGCATCTAGTTTATATCTTTTTGAGGTTCCAATAACTAGAACTTTTACTCTGGTAGTGTTGATTGTATAAAGGACAACCAACTGCCAGTCTCTCATAGTTGCTGTTACAAGCAGTCTAAACCAAAAATATATCTTGCATATTTTACAGCACAGTAAAAAAATTACTTTTCTTGCAGTGGTTATGTCGCATGCTTCAGTGCTTTATTCAGTCAGTCATGAATAATCATCGGTAGTTAAAATAGCCATTTCTTTCCTAAAGATTTAACACTAAAGTAAGAATCAATGTCCACACATATATCATTTGAATTTCAAGTTTCTACAAAAAGTTTTTTTTTGCTTAGAAGCATATAGAGCTTCTGTGTGACTTAAACAAGACCATACCAGCTCACAAATATCATGATTTTACTGGTCACCTTTTAACCTATGTATTGAGGTTAAACTTTGATGCTGTGTGTTAGAAATCAATAGACAGTAAAAATTAACCACCTTCCGTCCATGGCCTTTCCTGAACGGCTGGACGGGAGCCTTATATGAGTGGGAGGGCGTCTTAAGATGTCCTGCCACTCCACCCACTTGTGCGAAGCGCCCAGCACGCACACAAGTGGGGAAACTGTCAGCAATGTTGGCTGTTTACATTCAAGTGATTCGGGGGTCTCTAGAGACACTCTCTAGTAAATGTGGGTGTTCATCAACACCCCCCCCTGCTGTCTCCATTTGCCGCTGCTGCCGGTTCCTAGATCTCCTGTGCCCAGTGCGGCTGGGACCAGCACGGCCACACAGTCAGTGGAGATCAAAGGGAGATCAGCACACAATCTCCCTTTGATCTCCTCTCTGGTCCCCAAATGCAGGAAGTGATGTATATTACATCACTTCCTGCATTCAGTGTCACTCTCCGGTTAAAGATGCCGGTGAGAAGCTGATGAAGAAGATCTCTGCTTCATCAGCTTCTCTGCGGGTCCCTAGGTGAAATTATGGGTCTTAGAGACCCCTGATGTCTCCATAAAGAGGACCTGTCATGTGAATTGGCTATCACATAGGGGATTTCTTAGTCCCCATGTGATAGCAATAAAGTTAAGTGTAACAAAAAAGTTTAAAAAAATTAAAGCATAAAAAAACAAAGAAGCTAAAAAAATAGTCACAAATACATTTTTTTTTAAATAACACATTATTTTTTTTAAAGTCCCCCGCCCCCACACACGCAAACATGCGCCGGGTGCGCCAATGACCGAGAACGACGTCGGAATGAGACTGATGAGACTAAACTGATGAGCGGTAAAAGCTTTTAAAGCATCGCCCATGGCCAATTTTGGGTGTGGTCGTTTTCTGCGATTTTACGGGCATGCACAATTTTAAAGCTTGGCATTTTTGGTGTTCTGATGTCACCCCGTCTTTTATATTTTACCAAAAAATTCGGGTGATAATAAATGTTTCATAACATTTCGTAGGGAAACAGGTTTTTTTTCAAAATGTAGGGTACTTTTTTTGTTATATAGGGGTCTATTCACTAAGCTGCTGAAGGATCTAGCCGTAGCTTCGGCTGATCCTTCGGCTAGCTTAGGCCCCAGGACCCCTTCAGTTCGGTTCAGTAGGCATATGCCTCAGCTTGACTGAGCCACGGTGAAAGCCGAAGCTGGCCGAATGACAGCCTGCTTCTGGCAGCTGGGCGGAGCTCCGGCCACTTTCAGAGTGGCCTCTCCATGTTCTCAGTGTGTAATGACAGATGGCGTTCCTGGTTACCGGGTAACCAGGAACGTCATCTGTCATTCCTCCCCCGGACGCTCTGGGAGTCTAATAGGCTCCCGGGCGCCTGGGAGAGAAACACTATCTCCCAGAAAGGTTCACTCTGCTCGATTGAGCAGAGTAAACCTTTCCCTGCTCGGTTTTTTTTTTCTTCTGACATCGAGCCGTTGGCTGCCATCAGAAGAAAAAAAAATTCAGTATAGGAATGCATAGCTAGATTCCTATTGGCTATTTCAATTTGCATTAGCCAATAGCAAACTAGCTATTGCACCCGCCCACTGATGCTGTCAATCAGCAGAGGGGGGCCTGCAGTTCTCCATCAGGTCCCCCTCTGGTGATTGACAGCAGCAGAGGGTGGGTGCAATAGCTAGTTTGCTATTGGCTATTGCAAAGCGAAATAGCCAACAGGAATCTAGCTATGCATTCCTATGGTGTGTTCGTTTAAAAAAAAAAATTTGATGGCAGCAGAAGCGCCCGGCGGGCTGTCACTGCTAGCTCCGCACAATCATTTTCTAATCTTTATTTTCTACTTTATTAACTATTTTTCTATTCTGCTCGGTCCCACAGAGGGATCGAGCAGAACAGCCGAGCCAAATGCCGCTCAGCGGTATTCGGCTATTTACTCACTGCTGTTCGGCATCTATGAGAATAGACCGAACAGCAGCGAGTAGCCTGCCGGAGGCCACACAAAGCCACCCGATGTATGGCTGATTTCTGCTGATATACGGCTGGAATCCACCATACAAGCCTGAAGTGAATAGCCGAACAGCGTTCGGCTCACTTTACTTGGGGTCAGTTAGTCACTCGGCTGCCTACGGCAGCTTAGTGAATAGACCCCATAGTAAAAAGCAAAAACCCCAGTGGTGATTAATTACCTCCAAATGAAAGCTCTATCTATATTATAATGTATATATAAATCATTTTGTATATACATTTTAGCTAGAGTTTGACTAATCAAAATATGTGTGATCTTTCTCAATATCTTGTCTGTTGGTCTGTTCCTAAAGTGGAGATAATTCACTTACAAATAGATGCTGCAGGTTGTATTTGTTAATTGTAGATGGTCCAGGATAAGCTAACAGCTTTAAAGCATCCCCTTATTTAGATAAGCAATAAGGTTGGCTGGCCTTTTAATGATGCATATCTTGACCTGGACTAAGCCTACAAACAGTTGTGCATTTGAAACTTTCCCTACCAATTTGTACAGTAAATTCAATAAAGATTTGCATAGCAATGGGTTGGAGGTTGTTAACAAAAGGGCGTTTGAAAAATATCCAATCCCCCTGAGGAATATTCTAACTTGATTAGACTGCCAATCTGGGCGACTCAATGTAAGTCTATGGAAGCAAGTCCTATCTTAGTCCAAACTTTGGAGGAGTCTTTTAGATCACAAGAATTATTTAAAAGGTAATTATACGGGCAAATCCTAAGCACTTATTCATGCATCTTTGTATACACCATGGCATGCGATTCTGTTAATATGTCATTGCATATTTAATGATTTTACTTTTTGTTTGGTAGATAAATAGTTGATTCAATGTATTTAGGTCTTATCACTATGTACCAATACATTTTCTGCTGTTGTGATGAGCTCAAAAATCACATTGAATCCTCATACCCTAAGTGAATACTTGTAGTTGTGGAGGCTTATATAGTAAATCATATCTTTTAATTTGGGTAAAACCATGAAAGTTTACTTTTTAGGATTTTTTATCTTTGATAAGACATTTGCGCGTCTAGGGGAATGATGAGGATGCAGTGTTTCTAACAGTTTGTTAGGCCCAAAAAGGCCCAATCACACCACAATTCAGTGTATTTCAGTGCAGGTATTTCCATGCTATAAGGTGCAGTGTGTTAGATTGCTCATTTAAAATAGGTTCTGCACTATTTTTCAAAATGCAATCTGTGAATTATGATTTACATTACTGAGACAGACATCATAAGACAGACGTGTGTTATGATGCACATTATGATGTATGTCGTTGCGTGAACAAGCCCTTATATATATATTTTTATTTTGTTAAATTTGGGGTTGGGGGGTTGATTTACTAAAGTAGAATAGTTTGTTTACTTAGCAAAGTAGCCAAGAAAATGTTCACTTTGTAAAGAAAGGTCATATTAGATACCCAGTCACATGCAAGGAAAATAAAAAAACATTTTTGTTCATACATAATTTGATGAATATTCACAGCCCACATTAGTTCAGATACTTACCCCAAACATCTGTCTAAGATCTGGATCCCTAAACCTGAAAGGAATATTTGAAACATGGAGTCTCTTCGGCTGTGTTTTGTTTTCCGTATTTTCAGAAGACTGTGTCTGTTGTTGGCCATCAGTCTGTGCTGAGTCGTCTGTTTGCTGCAATAAAAAGAAACAGATTTATTAAAAACGGTAGTTGTTAATCAAATTTGCATAATTCATGCCATTAGATTGGTCAGAATCTCAATAACTAAATGGCAAAATTTCTATAACATAGACAAAATGGATGAGAACTAAAGCAATTTTTTTTTTTTTTTTTAAAAGCATACCTAGATACTTTTTTTTTTATATATATATATATGCACTATAACAATATTACACATAGCTGTACACAAATGTATGCACATTAACATACAAATTACACTTTTCAACATTTCACAATATCTGACTAACATTATCCTGACTGTACACACAGAGCTGTTGCATTATTTTACCTACACAAATTATTTAAAGGCTTTTTTTGCAATTTATTAAAGTGTTTCTCTAGGCAAACCATCTTTTGGAAAGAGCGGGGAAGGGTTAGGCTCTCCATCAAGTTTATAATGCTGTATGTGTTCCTATTGGGGAGATTAATAAGACTAAGGCTGATCCTTCGGCTCTCTGCGGCTGCCTCTGCCCTTCGGTTCAGTCGAACCAAACGGCTGCTATACGGGCTATTCAAAATAGCCCATACAGCAGCCGCCGAAGGCAGCTAAAGGCAACTCCTTTTGCACTTCGGCTCAGCTGAACATGCAGAGCAGTCGATGTATGGCTGATTTTAGCCGATGTACAGCTGAAATCAGCCGTACATGACTGAAGTGAATAGCTGAACAAGGTTTGACTCACTTCACTTTTGCTGGGTTATTCACTCGGCTGTTTTCAGCAGCTTTGTGAATATCCCCATAAGAGGTGAATTTCCCTCACTTTTGGAGATTTCCTTTTATATCCTGTTTTATCTCTGCAAAATTTCTCCAGTGGTACACAGATGGGGAAAAAAATAACATGACAGGTCTTTTAACCCCTCCATACTAAAACGTTTGGGCTATACATACCCTTTGGGTGCATATCAGATGGAAGCATAGACTGTAAACTGAGCAAACTGTGAACTACTTCTATGAGCATACCATGCTCTATATAGCATGTCCACCCATATTTGTGTATTTGATCAAAGTTTGGAAAGTTGAATGAAGAGACCATGCTTATGTACAGGAAACACAAATATTATTATTTTTATACGGCATTTATATAGCTCCAACAATTTGCACAGTGCTTACAAAATGTAGGAGACAGTACAGTTACAATGCAATTTACAATACAATACAATTTCAGTACAATAGGGTTAGGAGGGCCTTGCTCGCGAGAGGGGCAAGTGATACAAAAGGTAATAATTGTTTAGATTGATAATGCTGAGGTCAAATACAGAGGTTGCAATGAATTCTCCTATTCAGTAACATGACTGATCTGATTCTAAGAAACCCAGAAAGGGTGATGTTGGTTCAAAAGTCTATTTAAAATTAGCAGACCTTCTATTAAATCCCTTAGTAGCCAGATAAAAATGTGACCTTAACATGGGTGCTAAAATTGTCTTAGGTAATGATTTATCTGATGCACCTCTTGAACAAGTCCAGAAGTATCTAATGTTCTCTCTTTGGTGTAAATACAAACAAAACATGATAGCAACAAATGCACAAATACACATTATCTATTTGTAACAAACTCTACTATACAATAATGTTTTTTTCCTTGACTACCATAGTGCTTGTATGGTATGAAATTACTATTTAAACCATTTGAATTGTAAACTTTTTTCCTTTTTCCAATTTTCCATGATGCTTCACTTATTTTAAGTGCTAAATTATTACATTTTAAAACTATAAATTAATTGTCTTATATGATGGTCAGCAAACCTCATGCATTTGTTACTTGCATTCAAACATAATGAAACAGAAGTTCTAATCTAATAATAGCACAAATCCTTTTCCTATTTTGCCTATACTTGCCAGCTGTAGACATGCGTTGTAGTACGCAGTTACATAGTTAACTAGAGGCTATATTTATTGAAAGAAGGCAGATCAAGATGCATTCATCTGTCTAGATTTTTCTGTAATTGCAGCTCATTCTCTAGCATTTGCCCTTTAGATTTATGTAAGTTACAATATAAATTCATGGGGACAGTTTAAGGTGAAAGGATGATCATGGTCAGGTATTGTAGGCTACTCTATTTACTTATATATAAACCTTAATTTTGCCGTTTTTAAAACCAATTTGTGTGACTACAATAATTTGTGGATACTCAAATATCAGTAAATAAAAATCATATGAATATATATGCTAATATTAAATTGCCATATTTTGCATATAAAGTGAAAAGTACCTCATAAACAGTGAAAGTCCAAAATAAAATGTGTTTAATTCAGTTTATGTATTGTACAGGATGCCAGAAGATGGGTGCTGGGAGAGGTGTGTATTTCCCTTTGTTTGGGCTGTAGTTCCTGTAGTTAAGGGATCGAAAGGGGTAACACCTGCTGCAGGAAGTGTGCTTAATAGAATAGGAAGCAAGAGACAGCAGGTGAGAGAGAGAGATGCACTGTACTGTATGCAGATCAGAAGCTGATTAAAGTGCTGGTGCTGGGAAACTGCTGAACGGTACAAAGAGAGAGTTGAGAGAAACTCAAAGGTAAATATTGTGATAGCCTTTGTGGACTGAAGGCATTCAAGCTGGTGAGGCTATCATTATTATTGCTGTGCTGAAAAAAGCAAACTGTAAATATTATTATTTCTGTTTCTGCTGTTGGATGTGGAAAATAAATGCTGTTTTCTGAAAAAACCTGTGTCCTGTGGTCTGGCTAATTTTTCAATCATTACAATATGCAGAAAACATGAACCCTTATAATATACAGTCCATGTGGGGTTTCTACCTTCCCTTTATACTTGTGAATTTCACAGCAAAGAAAAACACCTTCCACTACTCTTTGTGATCCCTCTGTGTAGACAACTGTTCACCTGGTGATAAGACCCTAGTGGAGAAAAACACAGGTCCTTTTTGCCTTCGACCAGCAGGGATTCTGCCTTACACTTGCGGCTATCTTGCAAAAACTATAGTCTATTCACAAAACTGCCGAAGGATCTAGCCGTAGCTTCGGCTGATCCTTCGGCTAGCTTTGGCTAGCTTTGGCCCTAGGACGCCTTTGGTTCAGTAGAACCGAAGGGCTGCTGTACGGGCTATTCACTATAGCCCGTACAGCTCCCGAAGTTGGCCGAGTGGCTCAGTCGAGCCGAAGGCATGTGGTGAAAGGCGAAGCTGGCCGACAGCCTGCTATTAACAGCTGGGCGGAGCCAGCCGTCATTTCTCGGCTGGCTCCGGCCATTTGTAGAGACAGATCAGCATCCTTGGTTACCAGGTAACCAGGGACGCTGATCTGTCATTACTTTCCCAGACGCTCTGGGAGTCTCCCGCTATTAGATAGCATCTCCCGGCCGCCCGGGAGAGAAACATTTTCTCCCAAAAAGGTTTACTCTGTTCGAGCAGAGTAAACCTTTACCTACTCTGGGTTTTTTTCTTCTGACATCGGAGCTGCCGGCTCTCCATCAGGTCTTCTCTAGTGATTGACAGCAGCAGAGGGTTGGGTGCAATAGCCAGCTTGCTATTGGATATTGCAAATTGAAATAGCCAATAGGAATCTAGCTATGCATTAATATGCCTTTTTTATTCATCTTTATTAAAGGGGTACCCAGATGTGAATAAGCCCCCCTGCCTGCACCCCCACAACCAACACCCCATCGGCATGGGGACAAGGTGCTCACTCATCCACCCTTTTCTGCCCTGCCAGGCCTGTGCTCGGATCAAGGGTCTGGTTGGGAATTTTAGGGGGGACCCCATGTTTTACCCCCCATTTTGGGGGTGGGGTTCCTCCTTAAAATTCCTACCAGATCTTAAGGGCCTGGTATGACTTTGAGGGGGAACCCCACACTCTTTTCTATTTTTATTATTTCAAATGAGGTCCCTCCTACCACACCTAAAGGGTTTGGATTGTTTGGGAGGAAGAACCACACGCTTAAAAAAAGCATTTTTTTCTTTTTTTCTTTAGAAATGTCATTTTTGATGCAGCAGGTTCTATACATTGTACAGATTTGCCACTTTACAGGCAGTTTAAGGGGACCCCTAGGCACAATATTTAAATTAATTTTTCATTGTTATTGTTACCCTTCAAGTGATGTTAAAACCACTACTCCTTTAAACATTTTATTTTTTCAGTTTTTTCTATTGATTCCTGTCCCTCGGGGCAGTACCCGATTCCCCATACACTTTTTATGGCCAATAAACTGCATATAAGGCTTCAAAATGGGGACATTTGGTTTTCAAAGTTCTACCCCAATAGACTTGCATTGAGATCGAGTTGTTCGAAAGTTCAAATTTGAACTGAACATTGGGGTGTTCGGCTCATCACTAGTGGTATTGCACATGGATGGGGGGAGGTGTCACCCACGATAGAACATATATACTCCAGCTGGAAAATGTATTTATATTGTTGCATGTTTTACTGAATCTGTCTGTTTGTGATTCTAGACTAATTGTAACATTTCTGGACTCATTTTAATTGTCTTTATTTATATAAATATATGTGTTTATAGCGCTGGGTATTTGGAAATAGTATATGTAGAGGTTTTTTTATACCTGTGGCACAGCAGCTTAGTGTTTTATATCAGAGGAGATTAGGAGCACAGATCTGTATTGTATTTAAATGAAAATAATGTATTGTATGCAGTGATGTACACTTTACTGTAAAATGAAAAAGATGCTAGGAGTTACCTTGGAATTCTATAGCCAGCATACAATCATTAATATGAGCAAACCATTTATATAAACATTTTAGTCAGCATGCTTACTCATATAGTTTAAGAAATGAAGATGTACGATATGTGCACATATATTTTAAAGAAATACGTTGTTTTTTTTACAGTACATATTTGCCAATTATATCACCTATGCATTTTGTAGCTCTTGAAGTGTGACTTATCATTTGTCATTTTCATCAAAAAGGTCATGTCCACTCATT